AGTTCTTGGGTGAATTGATTAATGTACACAAATTCATTTTCATTTCCGTTCTACTTTGGAGAATATATAAACAAGCGGCAGCATAGTGTTGCGAACTCACGAAAGTAGTGTTGAGTAGTGGAGTAAAAGTACGATATAGTTAAAAATGGCTGCCTAAAAGTTAACTTGTTGCGTTTAATTAAAGAATCACGCGTAAGCACAGTGTTGAACAGCATGTAAATTGAGTACTTAAAAATGCTGGGTCAAAGAGATGAGTCAGCAGTGTTGAGTAGCGTGCAAGTTGAGTAGTAAAAAGCGCTAAGAATTTTCCTAAGGTAATTTTTCAAAGCTGGCGTGTAGTTAAAGTAATTCTGGGAGCACATAACACTTAGCAATTTGTGCATAAATGTTGCCCGACAAAAAGCTGGCAGCTACGAGCTGCACTTGTGACAGCTGTCAACCATTTCAAATAACACGATTTTTCGCGATGTGGCAACACCCAAACTGGAAATCAAAATAGAAATTTAGCAAAAGCAATGCAAACAGGCGATTTTCCCAATTATACAAACTTGACAACTTAAAGACCATGATGTCAGCTATGCTTATACACATATTTATCGTATTTAAATACTCAAATTAAGATTTCCCAACTGCAGATTGTGTTGTATACACATAAGCAAAGTATATATATATATATATATATGTCTATTATATTATTACACAGTTTGCGCATTTTCTTCCAAGCAATTTGTATTAATTCCACTTGTGTATTTCGTTGTTGACGCCCACAGTAAATGCCGCCACTGCTCAAATGGGCGACTGTTAAATTGTCCCACTCTCTCCCTCTCTCTCTCTTTCTCTCTCTCTCTCTCTCTCTCTGTGTCGCTGTCATTTGCACTAAACACTTGGCAGTTAAATTGCAATTAAAACACTAAAACGCAGCAAAAAAAACTGACTACTGGACGGGGCAATAAACCTAAACCCAACGGCCACTCTCCCCCTTCTTAAAGGCTGACTGTCAGCCCCCCATCCCCACCTAACCCTCTCCAACCATCTATTACTGGAAACTAAACAGAAATCTGACGTTGAGTTTTCAAGTGAGTTTCGGTTTTCGAAACGCAGCTAATTGAAATGCCAAGTTGCCATTTTGTTGGTTTTCAAATTTTCATTTAAAGCTTTTGGTGTGCTTTATTTTTCCAGCCTCTTGTTTTGCTAGCTGCCTTTTAATTACAGGCAATGACTAGTTTTTATTGTTGTTGCACTTTTGTGGGTCGCCATGGGCCAAGACAGGTTGCATTTTCCAAATGTGGCCAAAGCAACAAATGCGAATGCGAAAAGCGAACGCGAATGCGAATGTGGCTTATGTGAATACGCATGTGAATAAATCATGAAGTTCAGTCACTCAAGCGGCTGCCTCTAATGCCAAATAAGTTATTTTGGAATTTCAATTATTTTTGTGTTTGTATGTGTGTGTGTTGGTCAGTCTCTGCTTGACAGCGCCTGCCACACAGCTAAGCATCAGCCCACGGTGCCGCACAGTGTGATGCGTGACAGCAGGCGTTGACACATGTTGATTTCTAGCTGAAAACTGAAAACTGAAGCCTGCAAACAAAATAACCCAAAAAACCCTCATTATGAGCTTGGCTGACCAAACGCATAGAATGAAATAGAATTTGAATGGGATAGCATAGGGATCTTTAGTTTAATCGATATAGTGTTTTTTTCTCAGTGCATGGAAATTTACTGAATATAGAGCATATGAAATGTTAACAAAAAAACAATTATTATTGTAATATTTAAAATCTCAAAACTTAAGCTTTCATGGCAGTTGGAGCGGCCTTGAAGCATTGGTTCCTGTTTAGATGGCTATTAAAGATAAAATTAGGTTTCGAAACACATGTTTTGTATTTATTTAATAGCTTGATTCCTCTTAGAACTCAAGACAGTATAGTGGGTTCTTTAATTGTAATTTGCAGTTAAAATCAATTGATTTAGTAGTATTTATCAACAAATTAGAACCTTGGAATAAAAGGGAATCAAAAATATGTATGATATATTATTATAAATAAAATGAAATCTGATTTTATACAATGTTTAAAGTGGAAAGTCTGTCTTTAGACTTCGAAAACTTAAATTAGATGCTGCCAATAACGACATTATAGAACTCTTTAAGCTATGGTCTGGGCTCTATAAAAATTAAGTTAATTCCTACTTTTTTTTTTAATTCCATCAAAACTTCAAATTTCAACATCATTATTCACTAAAGTCCAACTTTTTTCAAAATTCTAAAAGGTTGTCTTTTGTATTAATGCCGTGCATTATCCTTTCGCTATATCCCAAATGTTTCGCACTGAAAACCCACTTAAACTAATTTGTAGCTAAACGCAAGATCTTGGGAAAGTCCGCCCACACACAGGCAGAACTTTACACACACCACAAAAAAAAAGAAGAAATTGTGAATGAAACAGGCGCTGTTGGGTTTTTCCCTCGAGTCATAAAAGAGCACAGTGAAAGAAAAAAAAACTAAAGAAACTTGTTGCCACATTTTCAGGCGAATAACTACTGAGGTGGTCGGTTAGCTGGCCATAAAATGCACAAATGCCATTCGCGCAGCGGGCATTTGCCGCCCATTGCGATCCTGTCAGCGACTTGATCCGTGAGAACGGAAAATGCCTCAAAATTCCTGCACGCACTGGCTCAGGAGAGACTCATTCGCGTTCAGTCAGTGTCATGGCAAATATATATATATATATATATATTTATTGTATATATGGCCTTCGGCAATCAAAAATGCCGTGTAACTAATGCGATTTAATTGCCTAATTCACCATCCAGAATTTTGGAATACCAAAACGAGCCCGTCGTGTGCCACAGCCAAGCAAAACAATGTGCACAAAGCGACGTCTGTCATTGAAATCGCGACCGAAGTGCGACTTGCGACTTACAACTTGCAACTTGCGACTTTCACATCAGGTGTGCCATTTGTAGAAGGTTAATTGCCAAAGGAGACATCTGGTAATCTGACTGTGACTCGCAGGAAATTCTATAAAAACATGAACTTTCTGCTGACTTTTTAATAACAAAATATGTTATTAATATGCCGCACCTTTCTTTCTTAAGCTATATTAGTATATACATCTTTTTATGGTCAGCTATCATCTCATCTAAGTCCACGCCCCACACTCAACACCCAACACTGACTGTCAACAGTTTTCACCCCGCATCGCTTGTTTAGTTTTCTGTTGGCTTGTATATCGGCGCAAGTCGTTGTCCAGTTCCATTTAATTGGCCAACTGTCGTCGCCTCATCGACAGCCACTTTGAGTAATTGGTTTAATGCTGCCTTTTTTACTATGCTTTTTTCCCTGCACTCACCTGGGTCAGGTAATTAATCGACAGGTCTGATCTAGCGTTGTATTTGAGGTTATAAAACTAAAGGAGTATAAATTTATCTTTAAAAAAGTTAGTCTACTGAAGCTAACCGATGGAAGCTTCGTGATAAAATATAGATTACACCTAGGTCTAGTCCATTTAGTTAAGCTGCTAATGAAGGCAACATTTTATAAGGGGTATTCCTTTATTAATGCTTGCTTAGGTAATATTTAATTGTTTTTCTTTATTGTAATTTTTTTAGGGGTTTTCATTATAATATTTAACCTGTATCGCTTTCATATATTAGATATATTGCAGTAACTGATAAACAAAATAGTTAAAATTTAATATGACAGGTTTTCTGTAACAATTCAACATATTTTCTATATATTGTTCCGATAAGGAAGCATCCAAAATTATAAAATAAGCCATTTGTTTGAAAAATGATTTTATTGGACTTTTGAACATTTTAAAACAAATTAATACAAGTTGTTGTTTGTCTTAATATCCCGAATACTTTTCAGCAGTAAAAGTAATAAAAATTGTTGTTAGCTACAAAAATTGCAACTAAAATATTTAAGCAATTATTGTTATTTTTTTTACCTCCAACATTCAAAAGCACAAAAATCAATTTTCAAATTAAGAAATTATTTTCATAAATCAATTGATAAAATGTGAACAATTTACGTTGAGGAAATTGATTTACAAGGAAGCGAAAATCAGCAGACTTCGAGTACGTGCAGAGTATGCAGCACTTGTATGTGCAGACACAGTGTGGTGTGTGTGTGTGTGTGTGTGGTACAGGTTGTACTGGTTAGCGTTGACAATTTTGTATGGCACTTAGCCATAAATTGATGCGGTAACATGGCCAAAGTCAATGAGTATGGCGCGTGCTTGTAAGGAAATTGTGGAAATTACGGCTAGGCAGAAGAGAAGGAGAGGAGGTGGTAGAGTGGGCGGGTGCGTAGTCTGTGTGCAGAGTAACGACTGTAGCAAAGACAGACAGAGGATCGTTGTTAAGATGAATTGTTCATGGAGTTGGCTCAACTTTGAAGTCCGACTCTTTTTCTTTCTCAATCTTACTCTAAAGTCCGACTCTTTTTCTCTCTCTATCTCAATCTTACTCTGAAGTCTAGAGGAGAGATCTCTCTTGCTCTCCGCTCAACTTCCAAAGTCTTGTGTTATTGATGAGGCTTTTGGCTGTTGTCTCTAGGCCTCTGACCTCAGGTGTCTATCAGCTTTTGTGGGCGTGGCCATCGCACTTACACCTCTATAATCTGCGTAATTGATGAAGACATGTTTGCTTTCGCTTTTTTTTTGGTGTTTTTCTCTCTTAATTTTCATAGATGTTGTTGTTATTGAGATTTATGTCAGCCTGTCTTTGATCCCAGGCAATTTCTTGTGGTTTCTGTGAGCCACAGCAATTACTCATCTGCAAATGACTGAACCGAACTGAACCGAGCTGAACTGACTCATCATTAGCTCATCATTATTATGATTATCATCAGGCATTTGTTTTTGCTTTTGCTTTTATTTTGTTGTCATTTGATGAGCCACAACTTTCACTGACTCTTGCCTAATCCAATTGTATATTCAAATATTTTAATCCCACATTCAACTAACTCGTCAATTTTCACTCTACAATTGCAGAATCTTTGCTTTCCGGCGTGGACCAGACAGAACTGCAGGAGCTCAATGGATTCGGGCTTCTGTTGCCCGCTGTGCCCAGTCCCGGCCAGACGCCACGGGACTCCAAACGCGCCTCGCTCAGCAATGAGCTGGTCTGCTGCTGTGGCGCTGACACCGACAGCTGCAACTGCGCCGCCGAGAAGGCGCCCAAGGTGAAGCGTTGTGGCAGCCACGCCCCCGAGGCGTTAAATTCCGTAGAGCCAAATGGCTGCCAGCTGGAGCAGCAACTGCCGCAGGAAGCGGAGCCGCAAACAATTGAACAGCTCAAGGATGGGGAGATATTACAGAACCATACAAACACAATTTCCAGTACAAATGAGGTGCGTATTTCAAATAGGTAGCTTGCTACATTTCAAGTTTTTCACCCATTTGTTTTCATTACGCTTTACTACAAATCACTAGCTAATATTTAACTTGATAGTTCTGTTCTAAAAATTAAGTTCTTAATATCCCACCCATCTTTCACACTTTGATATGGAATTTGTCATATTTTTGTAATATCTCTTAATGTGTTGCACATATTTTTGACTGACGATTGTTAGACTTAAAGGATTGAGCTGCACATCAATCAGTCAATTAGCACAAAGCGTTTCAAAATGGCCAAGCTGAAACTTTTCCTTTCTGTGTAATATCTCCAGCAGGATCGAAATGATACTCAGAGCACTGGAACAATTCAGCCCGATACGGCTGAGGACATTGTCGCCCAAAATCCCGCCCTGAAATGCTACGTGGATAATGGTTATTTGAACTACGAGCGTTTGGCCAAATGCCTCGAGACGAATGACAAATGGCAGGAGCAGAAGGAACTCCAGACTTTGGGACTCGCCATTGTCGTTCAATACATGTCCAAGCAGGTGAGTTTGAACAGTTGTACAAAAGTTGAGAGATGAATGGTACAGAACAGACTTGTTCATCAGTCGGAACAGAGAGAGATAGAGAGAAAGGGAAGTAGAGCATGAGAGGAGTAGGGAGAGGGATTTAGCCAAACTGGCGCCAGGGATTGCCCGGCGAAGCGAAGAGATTTCCGAGTCTCGGAGTCCTGTCAGGCATTCAAAAAGTTTTGTTCAGTTTTATGCGCTGCTGATTCCCTTTGTCCAGCATAGCCAAAGGTCTCACCTGCTCTAATAAAGGACCGAGTTCTCTGGCCCGCAGCACGAAATTTGCCTTAAGCTGCGCTTAAATTTGAGCTAATTTTGTTTAATTGTTGCAGCGCTCGTTAAGCCCCCGACTCAAGCCGTATACCCATTCGAAACCGGATCCGGCTCTGTCGCTGAGCCGGGGCCACTTTTTGTGTTTGCACTAATTAAAAGTAGCAAACGTACAAGTTTACGGCCTGCCTGAAATACTTTTATGCATACGTATCTCAATACCCTCACTCTATACCCTTTCAACTCGTGCTTACCCTTTGTTTTTGTTCATTTTGCCAAAAGGGTGTGAGCTCTCTGCTTCTCGCTATTCAATTAATTGTTATCATTTTCAATGCTTAGGCTTAGATTTCTATGAATTATCTCTAGGCACGTGTGAGTTTTAACACAGCTTGTTCTGGCCAGATTTAACAGCTCGGCGTTGCTCTATAAAACTTGCGAGCTACTGAAAATGCTGTACATATCAATTGTCTTTTAATTCGCATAGGATAAATTCTTACTACCTGCTGGAATTACCTACAAATGCAAGCCTTTGAGTTCTTAGTAGAGCACGCTTTTGTTGGTAACTACTTATATACATCAAAATATTAAATTAAAATAAGCATATATCTTTCAAAGGCATACGCCAAGGATCTTGTCATAAAATATCAATAAAGTCGTTTTGAAAATTATAAAATGAACGTACTTGTACAACTTTAATAGTTTTGGCGTTTTATAGAGAACAAACCTTGTCAGCTTTTCTTGCTTGTTGTTATTCTCAATAGGTTATTGCATCGAAAAACTTTGCAAACCTTAAGTCGTTAGTAAAGTAGTCTGCTGCTATAAAAAATAAGCTGGGAAATAATGACAAAGATTGCTTTAGTTTCGTGTTTTTTATACCCTGAACCCAGCTCCCAACCCAGCTTATTTTATTTTTCTCTCCAGCTCCTGGCTGTTGCTCTGGCTATAATCCTCTACCTGCTTAAACGTTCGACCGACTTGTTTTTGCTCAACTATTAAATATCAATAACAAGATCATAAAAATACGCGACAAACATTATTTTGACATTTGCATATTGTGAATTGGGTTCTCTCCCCCTTCATAAATCGATTTATGATGTTGTTTGTCTGCTGACTTCCCAACCGCAAAAATACGAATGCAACAGGTAGAAACTCAGCTGAAATAGTTGATAGTTAACAGAGAGAGAGAGAAGGAAGATAATTTAAGAAGGAAAACTAATTTCCTTTAGACATTGTCTACGTTTTGCTGCTCTTTCTTATTTCTGATGTACAATTGCGTAAATCCTTGAGCGGGATATACTAAAAATTGTGCTTATGTCAGAGCGAAGACAATGTCTCACATATATGCCATTTACTACGGGTTTTCTTTGTGCAGCTCAGAAGATAAGTCAGTAAAGTAAAATCGAGGATAAAGAGAAACAAATCTTGTGCTGGGAATTTTGTGGTGCTTACATTTTGCAAATAATGAAAATATAAGAATATCTCAAAATATTTTTTCAAATTAATAGTTCTTTAGTTTCAAAAAGCAAAAGAAACTTTTGCTGAAAAAATTCTTATATAAGAACTTCTCTAGCTTTATATTTCCATTCATAACAATTATTAATGATCGATTATTATATATTGTGAATTTCCTCTAAGCCAGTGGAAATTTCTCACTGCACGAGGCGAAAGAAAAGTTCCCTTTTGCACTCTCTAGAAATCCCATTGAGATTACACAACATTTAAGTAGTTGAATATGGTTGCCGCAATGTTTAGCTAACTTGTTGCATGCGGTTGTTGCTCAAATATTCAACACGCAGCTATTTTTTCCGGGGAATTTCTCGATTGCCCAACTCAAGAAATGTTGTTTCCCACTAAAAGCCTAAACGGCTGCTGCTGCTGTTGCAACATAAATATTTATTTAGATATGTTGATCCAGTCAGATTTCACGATACAGTGTGAAAACCAGGAAAATGCACAAGCAAGGACATTCGCTATGCCTAAGGATATTGTGTGAAGCGTGTGCGCGTTTTTATTGATGCCAAATGTGAAGGCCATGCGACTTGTCAATGTCACAAGGCTAGGAAATGCTCTACAAATGGAAAACTAGTCTAAATATATAGTCTCCAGTCTCTCAAAGGATTAAGTGCAGTCAGCGGCGACGTGTCCTGGCAGCCGAGTCACATTCTAATTACTCTGTTGCTCAGTTACTCAGGTAGGATAGAAATAGACGCATAATGTCATGAGCTTGTCGCCGACATCGAAATCAATAATCACGGCGACAGGCGACAGGCGACGGGCGTGTCTCAATTGCAATCAATGTCGGACTGTCTGAATTTGGGGATCAAATTGTCTCTTAACTGCAAACGATTATTAACTTACCGAGACAAAGAAATTAATGAGGCAGAAATCTGAGACTAGCTAGATGAGATAGACTGGAGGAGGGGTGTGTAACTGTCTTATAATTTACTTGCTTGAAATATAACAGTTTACAATTAAAATGAGTACAAATCAAAGCATTTAAATCTAATATCTCATTTAAATTCAATATCTAATAATATCATAAAGTTAAAATAGGCACTATTATTTATTACTTTGTTGTCTTTGTATTCAAGTTTGGCCTTTATCATAAAAGGCTCTTCAATTGTTCACATTTGATCAATACGCAAGTTTCTGATATCAGCCTTAACATTGTTCTCTTCCAGTGTTAGTCAGAGCTTAACTTAGTCACACTGTAAAGTATCCAAATATAAAAGAGCAGACCTAATCAATGCACACACAATGTCAACTGCCTTTTGTTAGTTTTTCACGTACGGAACACACATACGCAGACGCTACAAGACCTTAAAGCTCGCAAGTTGCAGCTGCCACAGTTGCCAAGCGTAGCAGAGCTTTTGGCAAACAAAAGCACACTTGTCAATACATGCACATGCGCTGACAGCTACTCATGTACTTCGCTCATCGCTTCTTAAAATCCTTCTTAGTACATCAATATTTTGTATAAGCTAATTGCAAACTCTTGAAAAACAAAAACTGCGCTTAGCTCACATTTAATTCACATTCAGACGTGTCAATTGCAATTTGAACTAGAGCTAATCAAATTTCGTGCCAAGATTAAAGGTACTTAGATACCTTTACTCGTATTCCCCTGAGCAGCTCTAGAAGAGGCGCTCAAACTTCGACACGCGCACACCCAAATTGTTGCAAGAGGGAGGTGAGCAAATTGAAGTGCATTCAGTCAGCCCTCCGAAGACGCCCCAACTGCCTAGACACGGGCTGTGACTAATTTTTTGGCTATATACATATTTGATATGCACCCAAACCGCATGAGGTAGCCAGACTAAGCCAGACTCTGCGCAGATTTTGCAATTTTTCGGCTTGAGGCGTTGACCAAGCAGCCAAAAACGCCCTTCGGTCCACCGAGGGCTACACCCAATTTTGTTCTTTTCGTTTGCTTTGGTTTGGTTTAGCTTGGTTTTTTCTTGCTGCATTTCTGTAGTAAAAACTTAGAACCCTTTAACGCTACGTTTCTAAATCCCCTGTAAATATTTTGTTCGCCATTTGACCTATCTGTCCCGTGACCTGGCCTACCCTGGCCTGATCGGAGCTATCCTTCGATTCCTACCTGCTGCCTATAAAAGCAGTCGTAGGAGCCTTTCTGTTGTCAGTCTACTTCAAGTAATTGTCGTGTTCAACACGTGCTGTAGAAAATACATATTTGCAAAAATGTGTTCACCAACGAAAAGTTATCCGCCGAGACCATGGACTTCGATTTGATCAGCTGGACATTGCCCAGCACAGCGAGCGCAACTAGTTATATGGATAATATCTCAGCTGCCACAAGCTACGAACTGCAGCAGGTAATACAGTCGAGTTTTGAATTGAAAAAAGAACTTGTGGTTCAATATAAATATAGTATATGAATCTATGTAATTCTCTAGCGAGATATTCATAATATTTTAATAATAATAATATTTTAAACCGAAAATAATTTAAATAATGGGTGCGTATATAACGCATATTCCTTTAATGAAATCTCAGGAAAAGACAAAAGCAAGATAAAGTAATTGCTCTTATATCATCTTATGGATCATGTATTGAAATTAATTACTACAATAATGAGATTGGAATCTATAGCATTATTTTTATACACCCCTTTTATAGGAATACCACTACAATGAGAACTTAAGGGCATGGAAAATATTCTTGACTGTCTGCAGTAAATATAAAACGCATAATATATGAAATTGAATAATTAATCAATTTTTGTGAACACAAAAATATTATATTGAAGCGGTTAACTTGTTGGCTTGCCTATTAAATATCAGACAAATACCCCTGCCAGTTAATTATATAACTAGAAGAAATTTCCAGCAAATGTCTTCATTAAACTTAAATTATAAAATGCTTAAAAAATAGTTAGTTTTGCAATGCCTTTTGCCTGGCTTACGCTATTTGTCGCTGGTCATAAACCACGTTTCCTCGCTTTTATGGCCAAAGGGAATTTTCCCATCGTAAAACCGTTCGCACGAACAATAAACCAAGTGCGAACTGCCAGGAAAGCACTTGAAATGCAAATGCACATAATGACCAGGTAGCCAAATTCCTGGCAAGATCTCTAAACGCGTTGTTGCTGCTCATCTTTTGCAGATGGACATGCTGAGCTGCCAGGAGAGCAAGGCGAAGAGCACGCTAGAGGAGACAATTGCGCTGTTGCAGCAGACGCAGCACAGCTGCGAGGAGCTGCGCCAGCAGCTGCACGAGAAGGATGTGGAGTGGGCCCAGCGCCAGCAGGAGCGGGAACATCTGCAGCGCACCGAACTGCAACAAGGTGAGTGTCCGGCTTGTCTCTAAGAGGAAAGCAATTCTTAACTAAGTCTTGCCGCTCGAATCGCCTGCAGCACAAGAAAAAGTGCAGGAGGTGCAACTAATTGCCAAGGAGCGTTTCCGCGAGCTCGAGTCCCAGCTGCAGGCCAAGGATGAGGAGAAGAAGGAGGCGCTGCAGGCGTATCATCAGGAAATAGCCCATCAGCTGCGCCACAAGCAGCAACAGCTCACATTTGCCGAGCAGCAGGTGCTCCAGCTGCAGACACGCCTGCAGGAGCACGAGGCGCAGGAGCAACAGCTGCGCGAGAAGCTCACACGCAAGGAGAACACGCACGCCATTCGCCTGGCGGCAAGCACACAGCGCGAGGAGGAGCTGCAGGAGCGCATCAAGACGTTGACCAAGGAGCTACAGACGCTGCGCGCCAGCACCGAGCACAATGAACGCGATCTGCGCGATCGCCTCGCCCTCTCCCAAGACGAGATCAGTGTGCTACGCAGCTCCTCGCAGCGACGCAGCCCGTCCAACAGCCAAGCGGACACCAGCGCCGAACTATGCCGGCTGACCAGCGAGGCGGACAGCCTGCGTTGTGTACTGGAGCTGAAGCAGGCCGAGATTTCGGCTCTGTCCAAGCAGAATGCCGAGCTGCAGCGAGAGAACGACGAGCAGCGCGGTCTGGGCAGTCGCCTGACCATGCTGGAGGCACAGAACGAGATGATGCGCACCGAACTGGAGGCCAAAACCGAGAAGGAGAAGTAAGTGCTAAGCCCCCAGCCCCAAGCCCTAAGCCTTAAGGTCTTCAAGCTTCATACAAAAAAAAAAACCAAAATTGTCTGTTTCGGCTCAAAGTTCTGATCCCATTTTTCGTAACCATAAGCCCAAGTTTTTGGCTGGAATTTCAATAAATAATAAATAAATAAACAAATGTTCACATATTTTCAATCAAATTCTAAAAAAATGTATAATATATATATATTATTTACAATTAATAAGCCTATGATTAGTTGAAATATCTGAAAAAGAGGATGTGAACCGTCGTTCCTCACATTATTTCCCATGTTATATACTGTTCATAGTTAAAACGAAATAGTTTTAGCTTCAATCCCCGTTGTGCAGCCTCGACCTTTACTAACTGTTCCACTTCCATTGCAGAGATATCCAGCGGCAGATGGAGGAAATGCAAAAGGCCTTCAACCATGAGAGCATCAAGCGCAAGCGCCTCACCTGCGACAAGGAGGAGCTGCAGTATCATCTGAAGCAACGCTCCGAGCAGCTGCAGCTGGTGCAGGCGCAGCTGCACGAGCTGTCCAATAGCTCGCAGGACAGCTCCCTGAATCACGGCTACAGTCGCTGCAATTCGGCGCGCTCCTGCCTGGAGACGTCGGCACATAATACATCGAGCACATCGCCACCAGCATCGCCGGTCATCAAGGGCGTCATCGAGCGCAACGATTCGGTTAGCTGGGTGCTCGAGATGGACGATGAGACGCCGCAGGTGGCCGCCTCGAAGCTGGTGCGACGCGCCGGCTCGCTGCGCAGCACCAGCGAGCGCAGCCCCACCCAGCGCCGCCAACTGTCGCAAAGCGCCAATGCGGCCACCAGCAATGGGCATGTGAGCAGCCAACATGGACCCAATCCGCTCTCGCAGAGCATGTCGGCCACGGCCTTGATGCGCAGCCATGGTAGCCAGGAGTTGGAATCGGCGCGTCCGCTCTGCCGTGCTCGCTCCCAATCCGTTTGTACCAAAGCCTCGATCCAGCGCCAGCAGCAGCTGCAGCGCCAGCGACAGAGCAGCGATGCGCTGCCTCTGCCCGAATGGCATGTGGACGAGCTGTGCTCCAGCTCGCCACAGCCGGCGCAAAGCCACGCCGAGATGCGGGCACGCAGCAGCACCATGAAGTTGATGGCCTGTGTGGACGCGTACCCGAAGGCGCTGAAGAAGTTCCAGGAGATACAGGAGTCCGCTGGCGAGGCCATGGTTTCCGGCGCCAATTCCGAGGATGAGAGCTGCTCGGCCTCGTCGGAGGATATGCGCAGCTCATCCGCATCCAGCACAGCGTCCGCGGCGGGCTGTACGCTCTCCAAGCGGCAAAAGCAGCCGCCGTCGCGCATGTCCATCGAAGAGGCATTAATGCTCGAACAGGTCAATAGCCTGAATGGCACGCCCATGGAGGTCAGCTGGTCGGAGGATGCCGCCGATGCGGATGTTGCCGCCGCGGGCCACCCACTGGCATGACAGGCACCCGTCGAAGATGATGTGGGCTACGAGGAACGGGCCGTCATCGAGCAAATAGCCGAGGCAGCCGAAGAGGCTTATGAAATGGACGCCGATGCGCAGCAGGAGGATCTAATTGTGGGCGGCGACGACGACGAGGAGGAGGACGCGGACGCGGACGTGGAGGACGATTACGATGATGATAGCTTTTAAAGCAGGCGCGCATAAATTGTAGAACAATTCGATGGGCAACAACAAAACTAAACTAAACTAAAGCAAAGCTTGGCGACAGAGTCAAGAATGTTTAAAAAATTAAATGAACAGAAAAACAAAACGCTAGAAATAAGCCTAAACAAATTTGGATGAATTTGCTGTAAATAAGTTCATAAAGGGGCGCTTCAATGGATGAGCTTTTGGCGAGGACAACAATATACATATATATATCTGGATTTTCATTTGCGGCTATGATTAGAAAAGAGATACATATTACACCTAGATACATGAACACAGCAAGCGGATCCGTCACAGTCTTAAGAGAACTCCATATGGATTGATAGAAGAGAGAAGAAAAAGAAAACCAAGCCAATCACCACAAAGAACATGTGTTATATGTAACACAGTTAACGTTTCGTAAAAATCAAAAATTGATGCAAAATAATAACAGTATAACAGTAGTATAAAAGTATAACAGTAGAGCAACTCTTCGAACTACTTCAATGAGAATACAAAATAAAAAAAGTATATATTTAAAACAAAAATTGTTTCAAATACGGTCAAATACGCTATCCGAGTGCACATATTGAGTACGTACCGTATCTAATGAGAGGGTTAGGCATTTAGCTCAAACAGTATATTAATATATTTGCATTCAACTTATTAACTATACAATACACATTTATATCTATACATATGCATATTATAATGGTATTCTAACCTTAAAGAATGTGGAGTAACTCGAGATATCGTACATATATATATGAAAATAATGTTAACCGGAAATCCAAAATAAGTCTAGCCCCCACATATTACCCATTGAGCTCAAACGGAAAAGTTAAGTAACAAAAAAAAAAAAAAAAAGGAAAAGAAAAGAAAAACTCACTTGATGTCCTTAATTTAAAAATCTAAAGCCCGCTATGGAAGGGGCTTAAGTACCCCTATTTAATATCTAAAATTGTAAAATCTTACGAAGTTCTCCGCTGTAAAACTTCGAACCTTAAGCTTTAATTAATTTTGTGCGAGTGTTTTTTGTGAAATTTATTGAGCCTTATTTATTATTTAGTTTTTAGAATTCAGATTTAAAAAGAGCAACATCTATGTTAATTGATTAACTAGCCTATACATATAGATATTACATTTAGTTTTTAGTTTTTAGCATTTAGTTAACTTTACAGTTTTTAATTTGTTATCATTGATTGTATCTGTATCCGTAAATGTATCGAAATCTTGCAAGTCTTATATGTGTAAGCTAAAAGGAACCGCAAAAGTTTATAACACGCAGCATTGTCATTAATTTTTAAGTACTATTCAGATACTCTATATTATTTTTATGTGTGAGCCCAGCAGCAGCAACAACAACAACAAGAACAACTGAACAGAAATTGTGTCTATATCTATAAGAAAAGAAAGAAAGATCAGATTATATAACAGTATAACACAAATTGCAATCCAAGCAAAAATCTACAGCATATTTTTTGCTAAATACTTTCAAAAACCTAAAATAAAATAGTAATTGTTTCAAAAAAAATTAAACCAGATGTTCTCAATGGGAGGAGGATTAGTAATTTATGCTGAAAAATTCACGGTCGTCAAACTCCGCCGCTGTCTACCGAAATTTGGTCAAAATTCAACTGAAGTAACAGGCGAACAGAAATGCCCAGCAAGTAGAAAATCATTTTTAAATAAAACATATTATTGCATACCCGAAAGGGGCAGAAATGGTATTCATCACAGCCCACTGTACAAGTAGCACTGTTTTGCCCATGCGCGTATGCAATGAATTTTTCATTCCCAGAATATTTATCTACTTCCAGGGAATTTCTATTCGCCTGCCATTTTAACTGAGGTTTTATCAAAATCTAGGGAGTCAGCTTCCAGGCCAAGCGGAAATCGACGACTATGAACTTTTCAACAAATATTACCAACAAACTAGCCGTTTTAAATAACAAGAAAAGACAAATTGTTTCTTTTTATATAATTTATTTATTTTTCAAATAAAGCTCCATTGCGAGCGTTGAACTAGTGTAGCTCCATAGAAAAGATTGGCTCAAAGTCTTTCGATTTCAGAAAAGGAGTCATTTTTAGTAAAAAGTCAAGAATTATAATGCAGATTATATTAAATTATATACATACATATTTCCTGGATCGGCGTATACTTATTTTATATAAGGCCTATTTAAAAAAATAGGATACACCCCCCGACGAGTCCTGTGCCCAACAAATGGAATTTTCCAGGGGTTATCAATGCAACATACGAGACAGCCTACGCATCTTACTTAAATGCGGTTGCTTGGTTACAATGAATATTTAAATTTAACGGCCGCTAAATTCCATTCGGCATGTCGGCTGTGTCACAAAATTGGAACCAAATTCAGCTGAATTACCAGGCGAACAGAAATGTCAGCAGGTAGACAAAAGTCCGCGACACCAGAACAAAATTCGATTGTGCGCAGGCGCGCCATTGGTCAAGCGCAAATCCATGATGGCTGCTCGGCGAAATATGTAACTGTAACTATCCTTTTGCTTTGATTCCTATGCATATTCGTCAATATATAGTGATGCGCAAGCACGCAAGTGATGCGGCGGATTTGGCTGAATAATGCGATATCCGCGAAAACTAGCCATTTATTTTGGCGGATGTCTGCATATATATTAAATTGAGTTCCTATCATGGGCAGATGATTATTTTTGACTCGCAAGAGTATTTTAATTTTATTAAATACTGTCAAATTTAAAACTTGTAAATTATATTGCCAATCGGACATATGATCCGCAGGTGTCAAGTAAACTATATATTTTTTCGATCGGCGTATATTTATTCTATATATAGCTTTATTTGGCATGCATATACGCATATTTCTAATAATAAACATATAGAGTGAAGGAAGATATGTCCTGCTTAAGAAAATAGCTATATTCATATGGTTATGTCAGACGCTAGCAAACTCCGTCTTGTGCCTAACAGATCGATTGATACAGGGGTTATCCAGACAGCATACGAGATATAAAACCGCTATCATATTTTACTTACATGCGGTTGCTTGGTTGCAATTAATAAATATTTAAATTTAACGGCCGCCAAATTCCATTCGGCATGTCGGCTGTGTCACAAAATTGGAACCAAATTCAGCTGAATTACCAGGCGAACAGAAATGCCAGCAGGTAGCCAAAAGTCCGCGACACCAGAACAAAATTCGATTGTGCGCAGGCGCGCCATTGGTCAAGCGCAAATCCATGATGGCTGCTCGGCGAAATATGTAACTGTAACTATCCTTTTGCTTTGATTCCTATGCATATTCGTCAATATATAGTGATGCGCAAGCACGCAAGTGATGCGGCGGATTTGGCTGGATAATGCGGTATCCGCTAATACTAGCCATTTATTTTCCGAATGCCGGCAAGTTAAGTTAATTGAGTCTGATCCTCGGCAGATGATATTTTTGGACTCGTGGGAGTATTTTAATTTAATTAAATACTGTCTAATTTCAAAATTGTAATTATTGCCAATCGTACATATGATCCGCAGGTGTCAAGGAAACTATATATTTTCGCGATCGGCGTATATTTATTCTTCATTTGGCATGGATATATACATATTTCTTGAATTAACATATAGAGTGAAGGAAGATATAGTTCTCACTAGTCAAAATATATCATCTTCCCATGATAGAACTCAATATACTATATATGCAGACATCCGCCAAAATAAATGTATAGTTTTAGCGGATACCGCACTATTCAGCCAAATCCGCCGCATCACTTGCGTGCTTGCGCATCACTATATATTGACGAATATGCATAGGAATCAAACCAAAAGGATAGTTACAGTTACATATTTCGCCGAGCAGCCATCATGGATTTGCGCTTGACCAATGGCGCGCCGGCGCACAATCGAATTTTGTTCTGGTGTCGCGGACTTTTGTCTACCTGCTGATATTATTGTTCGCCTGGTAATTCAGCTGAATTTGGTTCCAATTTTATGACACAGCCGACATGCCGAATGGAATTTGGCGGCCGTTAAATTTAAATATTCATTGTAACCAAGCAACCGCATTTAAGTAAAATATGATAGCGGTTTTATATCTCGTATGCTGTCTGGATAACCCCTGTATCAATCGATCTGTTAGGCACAAGACGGAGTTTGCTAGCGTCTGACATAACCATATGAATATAGCTATTTTCTTAAGTAGGACATATCTTCCTTCACTCTATATGTTTGTTATAAGAAATATGTGTATATGCATGCCAAATAAAGCTAAATATAGAATAAATATACGCCGATCGAGAAAATATATAGTTTAGTTGACACATGCGGATAAAATGTCCGAATGGCAAAAAAAATTCCAATTTAAAATTTGACAGTATTTAATAAAATTAAAATACTCTTGCGAGTCAAAAATAATCATCTGCCCATGATAGGAACTCAATTTAATATATATCCAGACATCCGCCAAAATAAATGGCTAGTTTTAGCGCATATCGCATTATTCAGCCAAATCCGCCGCATCACTTGCGTGCTTGCGCATCACTATATATTGACGAATATGCATAGGAATCAAAGCAAAAGGATAGTTACAGTTACATATTTCGCCGAGCAGCCATCATGGATTTGCGCTTGACCAATGGCGCGCCGGCGCACAATCGAATTTTGTTCTGGTGTCGCGGACTTTTGGCTACCTGCTGACATTTCTGTTCGCCTGGTAATTCAGCTGAATTTGGTTCCAATTTTGTGACACAGCCGACATGCCGAATGGAATTTGGCGGCCGTTAAATTTAAATATTTATTAATTGAAACCAAGCAACCGCATTTAAGTAAAATATGATAGCGGTTTTATATCTCGTATGCTGTCTGGATAACCCCTGTATCAATCGATCTGTTAGGCACAAGACGGAGTTTGCAAGCGTCTGACATAACCATATGAATATAGCTATTTTCTTAAGCAGGATATATCTTCCTTCCCTATATATGTTTATTATAAGAAATATGTGTATATGCATGCCAAATAAAGCTAAATATAGAATAAATATACGCCGATCGAGAAAATATATAGTTTAGTTGACACATGCGGATAAAATGCCCGATTGGCAAAAAAAATTCCAATTTAAAATTTGACAGTATTTAATAAAATTAAAATACTCTTGCGAGTCAAAAATAATCATCTGCCCATGATAGGAACTCAATTTAATATATATCCAGACATCCGCCAAAATAAATGGCTAGTTTTAGCGGATATCGCATTATTCAGCCAAATCCGCCGCATCACTTGCGTGCTTGCGCATCACTATATATTGACGAATATGCATAGGAATCGAAACAAAAGGATAGTTACAGTTACATATTTCGCCGAGCAGCCATCATGGATTTGCGCTTGACCAATGGCGCGCCGGCGCACAATCGAATTTTGTTCTGGTGTCGCGGACTTTTGGCTACCTGCTGACATTTCTGTTCGCCTGGTAATTCAGCTGAATTTGGTTCCAATTTTGTGACACAGCCGACATGCCGAATGGAATTTGGCGGCCGTTAAATTTAAATATTTATTAATTGCAACCAAGCAACCGCATTTAAGTAAAATATGATAGCGGTTTTATATCTCGTATGCTGTCTGGATAACCCCTGTATCAATCGATCTGTTAGGAACAAGACGGAGTTTGCTAGCGTCTGACATAACCATATGAATATAGCTATTTTCTTAAGTAGGACATATCGTCCTTCACTATATATGTTTATTATAAGAAATATGTGTATATGCATGCCAAATAAAGCTAAATATAGACAAAATATACGCCGATCGAGAAAATATATAGTTTAGTTGACACATGCGGATAAAATGCCCGATTGGCAAAAAAAATTCCAATTTAAAATTTGACAGTATTTAATAAAATTAAAATACTCTTGCGAGTCAAAAATAATCATCTGCCCATGATAGGAACTCAATTTAATATATATCCAGACATCCGCCAAAATAAATGGCTAGTTTTAGCGGATATCGCATTATTCAGCCAAATCCGCCGCATCACTTGCGTGCTTGCGCATCACTATATATTGACGAATATGCATAGGAATCGAAACAAAAGGATAGTTACAGTTACATATTTCGCCGAGCAGCCATCATGGATTTGCGCTTGACCAATGGCGCGCCGGCGCACAATCGAATTTTGTTCTGGTGTCGCGGACTTTTGGCTACCTGCTGGCATTTCTGTTCGCCTGGTAATTCAGCTGAATCTGGTTCCAATTTTGTGACACAGCCGACATGCCGAATGGAATTTGGCGGCCGTTAAATTTAAATATTTATTAATTGCAAACCAAGCAACCTCATTTGAGTAACATGTGATTGCGGTTTTATATCTCGTATGCTGCCTGGACAACGAACTCCTGGACCATTTGATTTTTTGGACATGAAAATAGTCGGAGTTGCAATGGTTCATGGCTACTTTATTAAAATAATACTTTATTTGATTTAATTATGTAAAAATAACGATGGCAGTCGACAGTTGGGATCCTTACGAGATTATATCACTCCAAAATCAAATTGTATGTACGCGAGATATTGTAATACGTATTTTTTTCGAAAACTTTAAATAGCTATATCTCTAGCAAATGGAGACTAATCTGGAAAGATATATGTATGGAATATCCACCTTGGGCAGAAGCAATAGCTTTGTCGTGTCCTTATAGATAATCGCAACAACGGCACTTTCTTATACATTTAATTATCAATTTTTATTGCTATATGAGTAAATAAAATCTGTACAAGAACAAGAGCTAATACTTAAACTCGAACAGCCTGTGCTTGGTCCTTCTTCGGGTGGAAAGTGTCCTCAAATTGTTTCAAAAGCTTGAACTTTTGAATTTTGCCGGAGGTGGTAGTGGGGAATGTATCGACGGTCACCACATACCGTGGCACCTTGAAGTGGGCCAGTTTACCCTTGCAGTAGGCCTTCAGGGCCTCGTTGGTAAAGGACTTGGGATCGACGTCGCTCTCGAGGCGAACAAAAGCGCAGAGCTCCTCGCCCAGACGCTCGTCAGGAACGCCAATAACCTGAACGAAAGAGAGGAAGACCCCATGAGTAGCTGAAGGAGCAAGCGCTGACTATGGAAACTTACATGAGTCTCGATCACCTGCGGATGGCTGTTTAAAAAGTCTTCGACCTCTTTGGGGAAAATATTCTCGCCGCCTCGTATGACCATTTCCTTGAGGCGGCCCACGATGCGTCCGTAGCCATCGCTCTCGAGCACAAACTGATCGCCCGTGTGGAGCCAATTGTCCTCGGCGAGAATCTCCTTGGTTTTCTCCACATCGCCATGGTAGCCCAGCATGGTCATATAGCCGCGCACGCACAGCTCGCCCGGCTGGCCGAGGGGCACAATGCAGCCCTGTGCATCGACAATCTTGGCCTCGATGTGATCCGTGAGGTGACCCACGTAGTGAAGGACACGATCATCCTTTTCGCCGGGCAGAGACTGGAAGATGACAGCCGTTGATTCGGTTAGGCCGTAGACGCTGTGGACGGCCTGCACGCGCAGCACCTGCTTCACGTCCAGGACGAGCTGCGGCGAGACTGCGGCGCCACCAGTGATGGCCTTCTTAATCTTGCCCAGCGGCAGCTGCAGCTTGCGCTGCTCAGCCACCAGATCCACATACATTGTGGGTGTGCCGTGTATCACAGTGCACTTCTCGTTGACTATTGCCTGCAGCGAGTCCTTCGGATTGAAGCCAGCTGCTGGCAGGACCAGAGTGGCGCCCTTGGCCATGGCCGCCATGATGGTGATGCCCACACCGAAGGCATGGAAGAGCGGCACCTGGACACAAATGCGCTCGCCCTCGAGCTCGTTGCGGTTGCCCACATGGATGCCATTGTTGACGAAACTGTGATGGGAGAGCACCGCCGCCTTGGGATGGCCGGTGGTGCCCGACGTAAACTGCACATTGCACGGACTTTCAGGCTGTATTTCGCGCTGTAGCTTGCCAATCTCCGCCTGCTCGCTGGCATTGCTCAGATCCAGTAGCTCATCGAAGCGTAGCGCACCCTTCAGGCTCTGTTGGCTGTTGATGATGACGGTGCGCAGATGCGGAAACTTTTCGCTCTTGAGTTTGCCCGGCTCCGATTGAGCCAGTTCCGGGCAGATGTCACGTAGTATCTCATAGTAGTTCTGCGTCTTGAATGTATCTGGCGCCAGAATTGCCTTGATGTCCACCTTGTTCAGGCAGTACTCCATCTCGGGTCCCTGGTAGGCAGGATTGATGCCCACCGAGGTGAGGCCCGCACGCGCCGCACCCATCATGCCCAGATACCATTGGATATAGTTGGGCGCCCAGATGCCAACCGCATCGCCCCTTTGCAGTCCCAGCTTGCGTAAGCCCGCCGCCAAGCGGTCAACCTCAGCCAACAGGCTGCGGAACGTATATCGCTTAGCCTCGTGACACGAAACCAGGGCTTCCGTGCTGCCAAACTGAGAGGCGGCCAGCTCCAGCTGTTGGCCCACATTGCGATACACCAGCGGTTCCTTGCCTATGTGATGTAGGTAGCTGTTGACTGCTGCGCTCGATGAGGACAGGCTGCAATGGAGAGATTGGAGAGAGCTCTGGGTAAAATATATCTCTTTACAAAAAAAATAAATATTTATAAAAAAAATAGAATTCATATATATATGTATTCGCCGCAAACAAATGTTATCTCCATATCACCTGTATGCCACACTGTTTGATAAAAAATGAAATATTATGAAATGAAGCTCAGATCTTCAAAAATCATCTAATACAATAATATACATTACTATATATTAAAAATCTACTTTAATACTTTCCTAGTTTTATCATAAAATATGGTTCAGTCCAACATTAATTGGATTTGCACTATTTTAGGAAAGTTTTTTAGAATCGAAATAAATTGGATAAAAAGGGGGATTCATTGTGCATATGAAGCACAACCAATAGGGAATATAAAAAGTAACCTAAGTATTTATGTAAATTAAATAAGTTTCAATCTTCTTGTAACGGCGAACATTAACGTGCACAATAAATATTTGCCAATCTAATCTGAGTGTAGGTTTGAGTCTCTGCTGCGGGTGGTGTGTACTCACTCAAAAGCTGTTCAGCTTGCAAACAGCTTCTAAAGCTTTCGCCAAAAACGTTTATAGCAAGTTTTTATAGCGCTCTGTTTACAATAACAGCCTTGAAATGACTGCGTTTTGTTCTTGTTCTAGTTGCTGTTATGTTTTTGTTTGGATTAGCTTGCAGAGCGTGGCATATACATACATGCATACTTATTTATGTACATACATATATATGTATATGTATGTATATATATTTCTAATCACTTACACGTGGTACTGGCTTATCTCGACAATTAAAAAGCTATTAAATGTGACATATGTATACGAAACTAAGTATGTGAATCTATTTAATAGAAAAAATGAAATAAATATATATATTTCCCTTTTGCCAAGTGGCTGAACACCGGCTAAAAATACCCAACTGTTAATGGAAAAGTTTCTGTGCAACAGGTGCTTGAAAAGATTCTGCGCAGTTAGATAAAAATTTGATAGGCAAATTCTTAATGCGTTTACACAAAGTTAATTATAACAACTAACAACTGGCTGGGCCGATAAACAGGAGTTTTGGGATATTCGAATGTTATGCAATTACTGGTAAGGCGTAGATGTCGACGTGGAGACAAACACAGAGGATCCAAGAAACAACCCTTGGAATATCTTTGAGCTTAGCAAATGTTTGCAGCTGTTGGCATATGCGCACTTTGGTTAATCCTTTGTTAGAGCTGATGTCCTTTCTAGTTGGGTTTGTGTCCTTTCTAAGCATTTACCTGCGCAGCGCCTGCTGGCCCAAGCTCTGAACGAGCACATGTCTGGACACGATTTGCAGTTTCTTGTTGAACATGTTTCAAACTCTTCTTTTTTACACACTTAAAGCACAATTTGTTCTTTTTTCATAACTTCTCAAGTGTCAATATGTATTCACAATTTGCGCAGCGTTTGATTCACTTAATAAAATTTTCCAAAAGGCTGCGGACAGACACGTCCACTATTCGCCGCGTACAGACGCGTACTGAGAAGGCGCTAATCGCAGTTGACGTCGATTTGCTAAACTTAAAGAGGAATAGAGAGAGAAAGAGAGAGAGAGGAAAAGAGTGTGGGCGAGAGCGCGGTGAATCGAAGGGAAGAAATCAACAATATTAAGTTCTAATACCCAGCACAATAAACAAATGTGTGAAGGTGCGTATATGTAAACGGAGCAAATAGGTCACAGCTTCTGCCTCAGGCAAGACGATCGAGTCTGGAGACAAAATTAGTTCGAAAGTATTTAGTACTTTATGGAAATTTTCCCATCACTCGGGCCATATTAAAATAATGAACTTTAAAAGCTAATGACTAGGTGAATGGTCAGACAGCCCATAAAAACTGTCTCGAATATTTAAATATATATATAATTTTAGAGTAAAAGAGTTAAAAAAAGAAATATAAATATATTGTACGCTTTTGTTTTTTTGTTTGCGTTTTGTGCCTACTTTTTGCACATATCACGATATATTTGTGTGCAGGATGTCTGTTAGTTGCGCATATCTATTTTACACACAATTACTATAGTTATTCATTCAGTGTGCAGGGTGTTTCCTAGTCGTGCATACTTGTGTAAGTGCACACATTGTGAGCTGTTGCTATTTATGTTTTAACATTTGCATTAGTTTTCGTTTGCTGATCGGCGCCTTATTTTTATAGCGATTTGTTTTGTTTATTATCATCGTATTGTATTTTGTTCACACATTCTGCACGCGGCACGTTTTGACGTCGACGTCGACGCCGGCGTAGCTTTATTTGCTTTACGTTTTGTTGTTTTCTTTTTTTTATGTTTGTATTTTTATTCGCTTCAATTTATTAAACCGTCATTTGTGCTCTTTTTCGACAGAGTTTATTTATTTTTATTTTTTTGTTTGTTTTCTGCTCATTTTTTGTGCTTTTAAATTTAAAAAGCTTTGTTAGTTGTTTAGCGGCAGTTTTTTATGAGCTCCGCTGAGAATTGGCCCCGCTCTTCTATTCCCACACTAGGTTTATCAAGCAAAAATTTCTATTCATCGTAATTGGCCGCTTTAAAAGTTTTCGAATTCTTTTTCAGACTCGACTCCAATTTCCTGACCTATTTCCACATATATACAAAATATATATGCATTGAATTAATATATGTATGTATTGTATACAATTGGAAAATATCAAAATAAAAATTTTGAAATTTAATGATTTATGTAGTTTCAAAATGTTGTATGAACATCGACGGATATTTGTAGCTTTTATGCAAACACAATTTTAACAAATACATCATTTAAATTATTTCTGGAAGCTATCTAAAATTTTTCGTAGCTCTTCTGATTTGCTAATCGAAAATCAAGCTGTTTATGCTCGTTATCATATTAACTTTCTATATTTTATTGTTGGCTAAGGTCTGCCCACTTTTTGGCTGTCTGGAATTTTTGTATATGTATTTAATAGAATTTTAATTAGTCTTATACTCTGTTCTCTCAAAACGAATAGGGGCGTATTGGGGGTGTGCCTGTTAAAGCGCTAATTGGAAATGAAATAAAATTAGAGGAATTATATAATGTCTTAAACACAAATGTTTGTGGAATAACAGTCTACGCTGAAATAATTTAACCAGAGACATCAGTAGTCCTTATACCTGAAATTAGGATATATTAATGTTTCGTTCACTTTTCCCGAAGTATTTTTGTAGTAGATACACAGAGTAGACCGCAGTTGGGAACATTAAACGTGCTAGTTAAAAATTTAAGTATAATTCCTGTTTTTAAGTTTGCCAAATTGATAATTGAAGAATTTCTTATCAAATTTTCGGGGCATTAGCATCATAAATGTACAAGTTTTATTGGGCAAGTGTGGCGTGTGTCTGGCGTTATCAGCGCATAGAAAACTGTTTGGGCAAAAACAGGCGAAAAAAAAACATTCTTGACCTTGAGCCGGGGGCAATTGAAGGAATGGCTGCGTTTATGTGTCTAGCTGGGTTTTCTTCTTTGTTTGACCCAACAGCATTTCGCGCAAGTTGGGGAAGGGTTCGTCTTCGCGCGGCATATTTTCGATCTCTGTCTCGTCCAGCTCGTAAAGGACGTGGGATATATCGGCTACTCGGGGCTCCATCATGCGTATAAAGTCATGCTCGTACGTTTTGCCCTTATCGAAGCAAAAGTCCTTGATTTCAGTGCACTTGCATTCGGGCGGCACGATCGCCACCTCGTATAACATTGTCGCATAGAGCTCAAGATTCTTCTGGTACTCTTCAAGGCTCATGCTCTCATCCGGCTTGCCGATCCATGTGTGTATAGAGCTGAAGGGCAGACCCACCACCTGCGCGTTTTTGGTGCAATATTTGCGCAGCTCGTTCATCATGGGCATGCAGACGTTGACGGTATCCGGAATGGCTGCCTGGACGCCGTACACACGCTCGTATGCGCGGTAGGCGGACAGATTGAAGGGTGCATTCCTTGCCTCGTTTAGCGGCTTCAGCGAGTCTACGACACGCAGATAGGCGGGATGCCCGCAATTGAGCCGGCAATAGGCACAGTCCAAGTGCTGGCGCACCAAAAAGACAACATATTCGACACTCTGATCGGGCACCAGCTTCACGGAGAAATTGGCCCTGATGCGCCTGGGCTTATGGAAATCGCGCTGGCTCGAGTATACGCGATGCTCCACGCTGTGCAGCACCAGGGCGGACATGCACCAGCGATGCTTGAGGAACAGCGGTTTGGACTGCTCGTGGGGCAGACGTTTTAGATCGTATGTATCCTTGTACTCCATGATGCCCACCTCGGCGCGGCAGAGTATGTCCCAGTCGTGGTGTGTCACGGGCAGTACATGACGCTGCAGGCCCTCCGACAGGGCGCTCTTTGGATCGGATAGGGTGTTCATTAGAAGGCACAGCTCCACCAGCGGCTCGTTCTTTGGACTGGTAATCGTTGGGTCGACATCATCAGTTGTTGAATTCCGTTCGGGCTCCTCTTTCTTTTGTATCTCCAATTCAAAGTAAATGTAGCCGCTGTGGCTGGTGGTTAGCATTGGTGTATCCGGTGTGATCCACAGATTCGTGTTGGTTATCAACAGATCGACGGCCTTAAAGAAAATCGCCCGCTCTTGGATGATTCGTCGCAGGGGCTGATTGTTGCTATCGTCGAAGGTGTCGATAATGAATCTCAGGTTCACCGGCAGATCGTCCGTTTCCTCCATCCAAGCCTGGGTTGCCTGCAACCAGCACAGGACGGGTCCCTTTGAGGAAGTCAATCCATTCCCGAAGAGATTCTCTTTCTTTTGGGTTAGCTTGAAGGGATGCTCCGTCCAGCCATCGCCGTCTGTCACGTTCGGCACATCTACATGCCCATAGACGAGCACCACGTTCTTGGCGGGTGTGGAAAAATAATTGGCGAATATCACATAATGCGTAGCCTTATCAATGCCCTCCGGCTTTATCTCCACGACCTCTACATCGAAATTTAGCTCAATTAGGCGCTGGCCCAAACGATCGATGATCTGCTTTGAATCCTTTTTGTGTTTGTAATCGTTTGATATGTTCTTGATCGACAGCATCTCGTCCACTTCGTGTAAATAATCGTCGTTATTGAAATATAGACGATCCACCACCTCATCCAGTTCGCTTTCTTTCACCGTAATCCGCTCCTCGGGTGGAAAGTCCCTGATACAGGTATCCCTCAAACAATCACAACGATCATATTTCGATCGATCCACGAAGACGCCGCAGCAATTGCGCTCACCCCAGCAAATCATTTTTACTATCTATTTGTCTATAATTCAACTTGGCAATTTCTAATAATTTTAAATTCGAAAGTAAGGATGAAAGCTAAAACAATATATAATCACATTGTTTGACGCAAGGTTGATAGGACTTGGATAAGATAGGCTTAGGATACTGAGTTCTAAATTAATTTAATTAGGCTCCGCGGAAGGTATTTACACCCTCTATACCCTCTGTTGGGACTGGGAGCCAGTTTTGTCTTCTGTCGCTTCAAAAAAGTTTCTAAATAAAATACTAATGACTGAAGGCCGACTCTGCTTTTTAAACAGAGGCCAAATCAGCTGACAGTTTAAGTTCTTTATAGCTGAAAACGGCCAATTTTAGCTAGAATATTGCAGAGTTGACAACACTGCTTTGGGTTTTGAACTCCGCTAAGCTTTTGATCTACCCATGCTTACAGACTGTAGCTTTACTATGGCTAGAATAAAAATGCTAAACATTTTAGATTTCATTAGTTCCAGTGTGAATCGTATTACTGTATCATATGAGATATCGATAAGCAGGTACTTGAATGAACAACTTTATGGCTTATTAAAATATCTTGACCAATCCTGGCATCTACTTCTTAAGCTATGCTGCCTTTACTTGTCCCAAGCCTTATCGCACTACTATATGATCTAGCTCTATAAAAATTGGTTAAAAAAATGAGGCATTGTTTGCGAAAATATTGGGTTTTCCAAGATATTTTCATGAAACTCATCATTTGCAAGTTTCACTACTCTCATATTTTTTCAACGCCGTAAGGCAAAGGTATTTGATCTTGCTGACTTTTTCGTTGAACTATACCCTTGATGCAATATGGTTGACAGAGACAAGTAAAATAGATGAATTAAGGCATAAATTCGCAATGTCTGGTTAATATTTACCAAAATATCACAATTAAATATCGATCAACATAGTTAATAAATATTAACCAAACATTGTAAAATGCTCTAATTTAGTTCTCACTGAAATTCAGAAGCAAAAGAATAACAGACAAAGATCCTTTAAACAACAGACAAGTAACAAGAATGGGAGAATCCATCCACAGGCATTATTTTGGCGCAGCAGAGGGCCTCTTCTTGCTGGATTTCTTCATTTTAAATGGAAAACATAGGAATTTCTTGACGGAATTCCTTTTCGGCGCTTTCATAGGAGCCGGATTTTCTTTATGCTTTAACTTAAAGAAGCTGACCAATAGATTGCGTTTAGGAGGCACCGGCAGATCATAACCACGATCGGCATCCAGTTTCTCTTTGACGCCTCGCAGGTTGCAATACTTGTTGATCACATCGCATTTGCACTTGGTGCGGAGGAAGGAGAGCTCAAATAAGAGGGAGGCACAGCTTTTGGTGTGTCGCATGAGGTTGTCCTCCTCAATGCACTCGTTCTCCTGCTGATGGCGATCCCTGCGCTTGTAGAATGGCATCAGGATTATGGGCTTTTTGACCAGCTTGCACAGCACGTTGGCAATGGGCAGACAAACGGGTATGCCCTGTGTGGTGATCGGATCCTTTTGGTAGACCTCGCCCACGGCCCGCATGAGGGCTTTTATAAGCTTGCTCTCCGTGGACCAACAAATCGGCTCCATGTAATCGATCAGATGGACGGCAATGCTGGTTCCAAGATTCAGTTCGTTACGTATTTGCATCATATATTCCCTGACGGCGCAGTGAATCTGCTCCACATCCTGATCGGGCACCAGGCGAATGGAAAACTTGCTCACCACCTGCATAGGCAGGATGCGAGTGCAGGCGGGCCGACTGTCCGCGCCTTCGACCCCATGCATAGTCAGCGACGGCTTGCACCAGCGACTCTGCAGCACCTCGACCTTATTTGCATCGTGCCGCAGCCGGCGCACGTACAGCTCCTCTTTGTACTCATAGGCACGAAAGCCGGCTGACTCGAGCAGATGCCACTCGGGAGTCGTCAGACGCCTCACATTGTTCTCGATGCGGGGTATTTGGATTTCATGCTCGTCGTTGACCAGACTATTCATCAGATGGCACAAATCGATCATCGGCTCAAAGACTAGGCCACCGGCCAGGCCGCTCTCCAGGCTCTTGTTAGCGCCGCGCACCTCGACCCCGAAGTACGCCCAGCCGGTGAGGCTGCAGGCGATGACGGGCCGATCATTGTTCACCCACGAGTTGACATCGAATACCATGTAGTCGACATCCAAAAAGAAGTCGCTCTTCGCACGCACATAGTCCTGTAGTCCGGTGCTGCCCACCTCGTGCAGCATGTCCACAATGAATTTGACATTTATCGGCAGATCCTCGTTCACTTGAAGCCAACATTCGATGGCATGAATCCAGCCCACAAGCATGCCCTTGCCGCTGGTCACGCCCCGACCATAGGCCAAGCCATCCTTGAGGACAAGCTCAAAGGGGTCGCTCAGCCAGCAGTCCGGCTTGGCAGGCAGCACATCCAAATGGCCATAGATCAGCAGCGTGGGCTTGGTGGGCGAGGAAAAGTATCTGGCGAAGAGTACCTTCTGATGCGGCTCCCTGAAGCAATTAACCGGATCGTCGGGTATTAGATGCTCGTAGGTTTTGAACTTTAAGTTGGCCAATCGATTCGCCACCCAGTCGAGTGCCAAGCAGCTCTCCAATAGAAACTTCGGCTCCACGGACACCGACTTGAACTTCACCATCTGTGCGAGATCTTGAATCACATCGTCCACTTGGTCATCGACTGCTCTCAGCACAGCCGGCTCGTTCTTAAAGGTGCGTTCCCGCTCATCGATCATCTGTTGTGTCGGAAAGCGCATCTGACAGCGCTGGCAATGGCATTTGGTTGGTGGCTCAAAGTTCAACTCCTCGTCAGTGGCTCGCACCGAGGTGCGCGAGTGTCGCGACGTCCTTTGGCTCCTGCGCGACAACACGCTGCGAGTTGAACCCATGGCTCGCATTGAACTCCTGCGGGAGGAGTGGCTGGTCGAACGCTTCACCTTCATATTGAGCGACATTTTTTTGCTTTTTTTTTTTATTCTTCACGTATATCAATTTTGATTTCTTTTAATATTTATTGAGTAAATTCAAAGCAGTGTCATGTCAAAAAGTTGTTTGATTCCAGTTTCCAGCTTGATTGTGATTAAATCACAATTTGAACTTTCCCATAAATAATGCCCGGCACATATGTTCTTCGAGTTGTCTAGTCTAAGATTCCAATCGACGGCTAGTTACCTCTATCAACTTTTGGCATTGCCTTTTAAGATGTTAATGCCAATAAATTGGATAGGTATAAAAGAATCTCTGGGCTGGGCAACTTAACGAGTGATGAGAGCTCTTCGCGTTGTAGTTTTCGCGCCAAAAAGCGTGTCAGGCATTCGAAGGTGTGGAATCAACAATTGTAAACAAACGCGTGCGCCTCAGAGGACGCCACTTGATGGTGCCCTCCACCCCCCTTTGGCACGTGCTTTCGTCATGTTGCCAAGGTGCTCGTCGATGGGGCTTGCCAGGCAAAGTGGCAAAAATAATTTCGACTGGCAAATCAGAAACTTGCAGAAGCTCGCGGCAAACGGTTGTTGGTTCGCTTTGCACTCGCTCAAAACTCACTTAAACATTTTCCCATTTGGCCAGAAAGCAGCCAAAAGTGGCGGCGGCGGCGGCGGTTCCGCTAAAGTGAGACGCACACGCAACCCAAAAGGGGAGCCATAAAAATAAGGCTAAACATATAAAATTGTGTAGTAAAAGTGAAGAAAGCGAAGAAAGCAAAGGAAACCCAAGCAATAATAATAGCAAGCGGATGTGTGTGGATGTTGTTGTTGTTGTTGTTGTTCCACAGGAAACATACGAAAAGTGGGCCCAAACAAACGTTTGTTGTTTCCGTGTGTTGCCAATGAAAATGCCAATTGTTGGCAACAACAAAATATTGGTAGAATGCGGCGGGCCAGCAAAATAAATTGTGCAATGCAAATGCAAGTCACAAACAATGTTTAAATAGAGCTTAAAATATCAAATTCAAAAGAAAACCTAAACAATTCGAGCTACAACCAGAAGCTACACCAAGTTGCAACCGCAAGTTGCAACATCAAGTGGCAGCTAGCCCTACTCTTGTGGTTGTGTAATGGCCAGTGGTCGAGCGTTTTGTTAGGCCCTGAACCCAGAGCATGTCGCAGCCGCTGCGTGGCGGACGCGGTGGGCGTGCCGGCGGCGGGGCTGGCGGTGCTGGTGTTGGACGCAAGACCCCATCCTCGCTGACTGGTCCACCGGACGATTCGGCGAATACCAGCGAACGTGCGACGCCTGCCAGCAAAGCCGATTCGGATCCCAAGGATGATAGCTCCAGCAATGGCGATAAAAAGGATTCAGATCTATTCCCGGCGCCCAAGCCGCCCAGCGCGGGCGCCTCCATTCGGGATGCCGCGAACAAGGTACTCGCCTTGGCGATGAAAAGCGAATGGACGCCCATGGAAGCGGAGCTGAAGAAACTGGAGAAATATGTGGCCAATGCGGGTGAAGATGGCAATCACATACCGCTCGCCGGAGTGCTCGATTTGGTAAGAGAGAACTACAGAGCAAGTGAGAGAGAGTAAGTGAGAGAGAGAGAGAGAGAGAGAGAGAGAGAGTATTAGTAGACGACTTTGTAAAATCAATTTTGGAGCCCATCGAAAGCGGCGCAAAATGTAAGTCGACGTCGCCCTTATCAACGTCTCCAACGGAGGCGGCATTTTAGTTGTTGTTGTTGGTTGTTGGTTGTTTACCAGCCAAAATAACGACACAGTAGCTGAGTATAGCTGTGTGTGTGTTGTGTGTTATTTGATAGCGCGGCCCAAATGTTTGGCTGCCAAGGCAATGGAAGGCGACGTCCTGCCACAAGTTGCGCCGACTACCCCCGCGGAATAAACTCATAAAGCATCGAAATTGAAGCGCTTCGATTTCAATTTACCATAAAAATATCAAACACAAAAGTCGTTGACATAAAATTATCGTTGCAAGTCTTAAGCACAGGCCCCCCACAGACGACAGCTCCCGCGGCAACTGACAATAAAATGCAGGCAGGGTAAAAAAAATATATTTAGAAGCCAAAAATGTAAATACCCAATTGGAATGTAGACAAGAGTTAAGGGATCCGGGCGGCAACCAGGGCAAGGGTTGCCTCATGCAAATTATTTCGCTGTGCGAAAGGCATCATTAACATACAACTTTGATTACAGCTAATGATACCCTGTAGATATGCAAATAAGCAAGGGATTGTATGTGCAGCACACTAACTTTAAGCTAGAATATATTATTAACATATTGTGTTACTTTTTTATGTGGAACATGTTTAGTTTTACCTTAAACTAATCCGATTTGCCATCTTCTCAGGGGTTTAGGCCTTAAATTTCGTGCTCAATGTCGTTTCAGGGCTTAAAAAAAGAAATTGTATTCAAGCAGGGATCAAAAAAAGGAATTCAGCAATTTCGCAATAAAGTCTACACATCTTATTTGTCGAAATCTTTGTTCCTTTTTAATTCTTTAACATGAACAATTAATTTTGATAACAAGTAATATAGTTTTTTTTGTGAGCCATACATTTAGTTACAGGGTACATTTCAGTTACACTGCCTTTTTTCTATACTGTTCCAATTTAGCTTATTTTGCGACTATTTTTGGTATATTTTTGCTGCCAGACAAGGTTAGGAAGTTCTTAATGTTTTGGACTTGATTTGGTTTTAATTATGAAAATGGCGCCAAGCAAATGAGGTGAAAATGAAGGCTTATCAACGAATGTATGAGAGCAACAAGAAAAGAACTGCAATATAAACCATAACTACATAATAATAAAAATATAATAATAATGATGATGACTGCCAAAAAAAAACCGTAAACAATTTTATGAGCATTATAAATTAGGCTAAATTCTAAATTGGTTAGCAAACAAGACAAAAATTGTGGGGAAATAGCGAATGCCTGAACAGATCTCAGGAGATTTCAGGTAAAGTTAATTAGATGTCAGAAGTCTAGATAGAAAATTGCCCTTAAATGGATTTGAAACCCATTTTCTGATAATTAAGGTCACATCCGAAACCGTTTTTATATATTTATATATTTCTGTACGAGCCAACGCGTCAATTTGAAGGAAAAATCAAAATGGAAATCGTATTATTATGATAAAGCCATAAAAGTTAGAAAAGAGTTTAAAATGAAGTAGTTTACGAGTGTCTTCATATAAAACTGTGTGTACTGAATGTTTGACTGACCGATTGGAGATCAACACACATACAAAATTATTTTGAGACGTGTTTCACGCTTTTCACAAAATCCGCCTCCTTGGATGACAAATGCGGGCGAAAGGTTATAAGGGCGAAGTAGAAAGTTCTGCCCGATCGACATAAAAGTTGAATGAATACTTGTATGTCTTTTTGAATCTGCTCCCCCTTTTAATTCCACATTTAGCTAATATTTAAATTCATTCCCAATATGCATTTGTGCACGATAAAATCTCTGATGAATATCCATTGCGGTTTTTTTTTTAGAACACGGGCATGACTCCCCTGATGTACGCCACAAAGGACAATAGGACGGCGATAATGGATCGCATGATTGAGCTGGGCGCCGATGTCGGAGCACGGAATAACGTGAGTATCGGGTGTCGACTTGAGTTTAAGTTAGAAAAGTCGTCTTAAATTACCAAGATATGAGTATTTGGCTTAAGCCAAAGGCAGCCAGCTGAGAAAGTCGACAACAAAGAGAAAAAAAACAATAGAAGCCGCTGCTGGAATTGTGTCAAATCGATAAAAACCGCATAATTAAATCTCACGCGTGGGCGTCATACCAAGCGGGCAGCAATTGTAAGTTGGTGTTGCGAGGGAGGGGGGAAGGGGGGGGGTGCGGTCCACGCACTTGCCGGCGGGACTCGACGCTTGCTGCTCAACTGCCACTTAACAGCCGCTGTGGGTCAACCGAAGAGAGCTTGGCCAACCTTTTGGCCGGGCTCTAACAATTGTTAACAGCTCAGGCGACACGCAAAGGCGCACCGGATTTTGGTTTAAGGGGGCTGCAGGGTCTTTGGGGTATCATATTCTGTGATTTATTTTTCCCCGATTTTATGCTGCATACCTTGAGGTACCACGAATAATTGCAAGGTTATTTTTCGTTAATGCAAGCAATGCAGTTCGGATTGGAATCAATCGTTTTTTAAGCAGTGTTGTAAAGCACTCTTAAATTGGAAAAAAACTTTGTTACATAATACTTCCTTATCTTGCCTGCATTATTTTCTTCAGTTGTAGTCAAGCCAAATATAAGTAGATTACAATAAATAAACCAATCAACCTTTTAGTAGCGTTGTGAAATACTCTTATTTAAACAATTAAATATTTAGAACGGTGTCTAGGCGTTACGTTGAAAGGGTTTAGTTGACCTTTTTTCTCAATTATGGTAAGCAAAAAGAAGAGGAAGCACAAATTGAGCTCCGCGTCAAATATAAAGTGAGCAATTTGGGCCTATTCACCGTCCAATTGGACATTGGGCACTTGGCATTATGTTTGCATGCCACAATTACTTACAACACATTTGGCCACATTTCATTTGGCCCACTGCTCTCGACTTGAGCTTGAGGCGATAAAAATCCTTGACCTAATTACAAAATAATTGTTGCCAAACCAAAAGCGAGCAAAGTCAGCGAATTAAATTACCAAAACAAACATAGAAAATTGTGATACGTTTTTTTGCCCCAACGCAGACTCACATAAAAAACCCGATAGAAGAAATTTTCCCAGCTTGTTTAGCGTGTGAAATGTTAAAGGTTAATAGCTATTTATGAATTATAAGCCTTGACGGCGAGTATAAAAATGAATATTTATAATTTATGCAAATTAGTTTTTCTGTAAAAGAAAAAAAAAACCTAGAAGTGGATTCTTATGCTGCACCCAGTATTGCTGAGAGCCTGAAGGGCCATTGACTTTTTATCTTATGATAACATATATATATTCGATCTATCCTAATTCAATTCGGGAATATATTCCGGATT